AAAAAGTAAACAAGTTGTTCGAAAGCAATAATGCAGACCCAATGAAGATTTTTAATGAACTCAATGTTTTACTTTCGCATCTATGCTCCCTAGTGGTTATTAGCGCGGACACATTTGATCCAATATGCTCCCCGTTGGAACCATACCTTGCTCCATTTCCTCAGTTTTATCACAGTTTTGAAGAGTATTTAAAAACAAAAGTAAGCACAAATGCTTTTGACCACGAAGCCGAGAAAATAATTCGAGAAAATGGTCGCTATTTTATTATCACTTTAATAAAGGAATTACGCCAACGCCTCCCTACAAATATTGCCACACTAAAAAAAATTGACTTTTTTCGGTTGGAAATGCATTAAGAGTAATTAAACCAAAAGTATTTGTTCAACTACAGCAACAAAAACACAAATATAATGCCGACTAAATAACATCCATAGAGATGCAATGGCAACGGTTAACGTTACATACTGTAGTGCGATTCCCATTTTTCTTAACGACAATATTCGCATCGTTAGCTAACGATTCCGACAAGTTTCGTTAACTGCGATTCTCAAGAACACTTTTAGCGAATATTGTCGGTAGCTTTGACAGTTGTCTAACGAAATTTGTAGATAGCCTAGCTACGAATATTTTGTCGATGAAAAGCCTAACGATAGAATTGGTTTAAGTTTCTATTGAGAAAAATTAGGCAAAATTCATCGGTAAGCAAACTATTATAATAAAAAATAGCTAATAAATAAACATTTATCACATATAGATGTGCTTATTATTATTATTCTTTTTATTTATTACACTGTGCAAGTTGAAAACTTAGGCAAAGGTTTTGATAGTTGATCTCACTTAATTGGGGCATTCTAAGTGCAATGGCTCCCCCCTTTCTGTCAGATTTGCTCCAGTGTTCGAGATAACGACACTTGAACATTTGCTTCAATTTTAACTTGTTTGTAAATAACTCAGTTTTTGTGTTGTTTTAATAAAATTTTTAACATGACTGATTTTTATAATGAAGGTTATTTTAAAAAATAGTCACGTGATAAAGTTTAATAAAATGACTTTAACGGACTTTGTCGGAGTTATTAAAAAAAACATAAAAATTTTAACAAATTTTCAATTACTGTTACGTCGAAAACTAGAGCCACAGCTAAATTTTTAGACGTGGAAAGTATAACGTCAAAATGATGTGTTTGTTGAAATGGAATTTTTAACTTATACACGGCTAACACTACCTTATTAAATTCGCCTTGCACGAGGCCCTTATTGCAAAATAAAAAGTCCAGCATCCTATGGTACTGCTCCGTAGTAGCTTTTGCGCTTCTGTTTTTTTCATAATGTATTCACAAACAACAATCTCGAGAACAATAATACGCGCAACAATAAAATGTTTCTTTTAAATATTGAGTGTCAAACGTCAATATTGCCATATTTGCCTTTGTAATTAACGACAATCCTCGTAAACTCCTTTATCGACATGTCTAACGAATTCTGTCGTTAAGTGTGTTTTTGAGAATAGCCTATTCGCTACTGCAAGCTACAAACGTCGTTCATTATCAATAACGAATAACGGTTAGGAAAAATGGGAATCGCACTACTGGAGTAATTTAGACTCAACTGTAAAATTTTGGGCCGAAGTTTATCAATTTCGAAATGCCCTAGGAGAAAACCCTTTTGCTGACCTTTCCAACCTAGTTTTTAGTTTTCTTGTTTTGCCTATAAGTAATGCAGAAGTAGAGCGAATATTTAGTTCAATGAATATAATAAAAACTAAGCAAAGAAATCCAATGTGCGTTAAAACGTTAAACGCTATTTTATATATAAGATACGGTTTAAAACGTGAAGAAAAATGCTGCCATAATTTTACTGTAGATGACGATCTCTTAAAATTAATGAATTCAGGTGATATATACAATAGTGATTCATTTGATGATGAGGAGTCGAGTGTATCTCGATATAAATTAATGGTGTTATCTAGTCTTTCGTTTCTTGCGATTTATTTAAATAAAGCATGTGAATTTTCACTAAAACATTTTAGCCGTTTTTAGCCGCTTTTTTTTGCCAATCTAGCCGGTCGGCCCAAAAAGTTCTGGCAACACTGATTGCTATTGCGCGCCCACAACCTCCTGCGGGGCACCGGGCAAAAACATCAGTAAAAATAAAAACAAAAACAAACAGAGACACACCCAATTTGATTTCTTCCTGCATTTTGATTTCAAATTAATAGGTACGCTGAAATAAATTTAATAGCTTAGCTACTTTAGAAGTCAACTTATTCCTTTGACCTGCCATTTCCGGCTGCAACGAACCGGACGCGGCAATGCTAAGCTAAGATAGGTCTGAGAAATATGTACACACGAATTGAACAAAAAATAAACCGTTAAGTGTATAAAAAAAGAAATACGTGCATATTGATGGAGTGGATGTAGAAGCTTTTACCTCCAGCAAGCAGCTAATGCAGGCGAATCAATCGAAGGAAGTGCAGT